GCTCAACCAGCCGGTGCAAGTTCTGCAGGTTTTTTGGGGTTTTTAATGGTTTGGGAGAAGTGATCAGTGGTCTGTATTATGATAAATGGAATATTAACTGAGCTTTGTTGGAATCCCTGGGGCTCTTGTGAACCTTTGTCATGGTGTGGAAAGCCGTGGCTTTATTTCCAAAGTGATTTTTGAGCTGTCACTTGAATTAAAACAGGGGGGAAAACGTTTAGTTGAGAGGGGCAGCTATTTCAGGAAGAAGCTGCTTTTCTTGTCTTTTGGCACCAGAACAGATTAATTTTCCCCTAGAAAATGTAGTGGTGAATCTGTAATGAGCAGTTTGTTAATGCAGTGTCTGACTGATGAAAGATCTGGCTGTTGGTGTAGCCTGGAGCCCTTGATGGTGCTGAGGCTTTGACTGAAGTGAGCCTGACCTAAATCTCAGTGATTCACCGTTCTGTGAAAGGAGACTCTTCAAGGAAAGTTCCATCAGTATTAAGGAAAAAAAAAATAAATCGATGTTCTCTTTCCAGAAAAATCCCATTTAACAATGGTGACAGAAACTGAACCTCCCAGGTAGCTTGTGATGGTGAAGTACAGGTTCTGGGCGGGGGGGGGAGCACTGGGAGCTCTGTCCTGCAGCACCAAGCTGCTGTTCTGCAGTGTAAAAAGGTAGAAAAAGTGTTCTCTGAGGAGCTGGGGGCAACTGAGGTTGCCTGTGTGCGGTTCCTCAACGCCTGCCCCCTCTGCCTTGCCAGTCTCACGAAGCAGAAGTGTTGAAGCAGCTGGCGGAGAAGCGGGAGCACGAGAAGGAGGTGCTGCAGAAAGCCATCGAGGAGAACAACAACTTCAGCAAAATGGCAGAGGAGAAGCTGACCCACAAAATGGAAGCCAACAAAGAGAACCGTGAGGCACAAATGGCTGCCAAGCTGGAGCGCTTGCGGGAGAAGGTGGGTGTGGGGGCCCCTTGGAGAGGGAGTTATCCCTGCTCCCTGCTGGGAAAACTGGCTGAAAACCCCAGAGGAACGGCCACGTGAAGGGGGTGCTGCGAATAGATGGGTGTCCTTGGGAGTGCTGTGACCTTCAGAGGTTCTTAAACCTGCAGAAGGTTGTGCAGAAACGCAGCTCTTTTGGGGGGAGAGGGGATGGGACGGAGGGAGTGAGTTAGGGCAGTGTTTTGCTTTCTCCTCTAAAGCTCCACCCTGTACCCCCTCGGTGACCCACGGCAGGGTTCCTGCTGTGAGCTGGGGGTGGGAAGCCCCGTGCCTTTCCCAGGATCCATACCTTTCCCAGGATCTAACTGCTTCCTGCTGCTGTCTTTCAGGACAAGCACGTCGAAGAGGTTCGAAAGAACAAAGAAGGCAAAGACCCCGGTGAGGCCGAAACCGACTGATTTCATTCTGGAAACTTACTCTCCCCCTCCTCTAAATATCCAAAGACTGTACTGGCCAGTGGTTTTATCTTTGGTTTTTGGTTCGGTTATATATATATATTTTTTTTTTTTTAAGTTTCTAGAAACTGATGTAGAACTGTAAAATTAGATCCAAACTGTACACTTGCTTTGGGGGCTAGAGGGGAGAACCTTCCATGTGTCACTTTTCTAAAAGTGTTGTCTTTCCAGTGTAGCTTTTCTTCTTGTTGCATCCTTTTCTACGCCAGTGCTCTCGCTCCTGGGTTGATGGCGAGTACTGTATCAGCTCTGTAAGACCTTTGTGAAAGGAATCTGTAGTAACTGTTCCATGCTGAATATCTGTTACACTTCAAAAAAAAAAAAAAGTAAAGTAAATATCTGACTCTGTCCCAGTCAGTCTGCTAAAATACTGCTGTAACTGAGTGACTCAATAAAGCTGCACAGTGCTGTTATCCCGAGAATCATTTCCTAGGGGACAAAAACCAGCCGAGGGCTGCAGTGGGACTCCTCACCCCGGTGGGAAGGTCTGGAGCAGCACATTTCCTTGCTCCCCCAGAGCACAGCATTGTCTCAGCTGGACAATCAGAGCTTTGTTTTGACACCTCAGCAGTTGTCAGCTGTCGGGTGTTTTTGTTCAGAGGGTTCAGAGCCACCTCCCCGGGGCTCTGACGCCCCAACAAACGGCCCTTGTTACCACATGACTGGTCTGAGCCTGGTTTTGGGAAGGGTTTCTGGGAGATGGCTTGTGCTGCTGAATGGTGGCTGTGTCAGAGGGGGAGAGTCAGGAACCTGTGTTGGTGCTGGGATAAGCCAGCTGGACCTCTTCCAAAATGCTGTTTGTGGATAAGAATTGTTTTTGTTTGGGTGTCACGCATCTGTGTTGGGATAGAACACCAAGGTTAACTCCTGCCCACAGCCAGAGCAGTGGTGTCTTTTTTCTCCTCCTGGGGTGTGAGGAATGGATGGGGCTGTACTTGTGCTCTGAGAAAAGATGATATATTTTTTTTTTTTTAGGTGGATTGGGTACAAAATTGCTGTATTGTACCCCAAATCCTTCCCCTAAGAACATCCACAGGTGCTTGTGCTGCCCTCGGCAGAGCCAAGGGGGGTGAGCAGGCACCCAACTTCCTCAGCACCAACCCCCTGTTCCAGAACTCTTGGCTTAGTGAGTGCCAGGGATTTCACAGCCTCAGTGTGACACTCATGGCTCTGGCTTTCTCTGTACCCCTGATCCTGAGCCTTTTGCTTCCCAGGTTTGCTTTCAGGTTTAACTCCACACCTGGAGCATCTGGTGCAGCCCAGCTGACACGTAATTCCGAGGATGGAAAACCTGGTGGGAAACTGGTTTTCTAAGGGGCTAAAGGAGTGCTGGTCACTTGATCAAGAAGAAACCCTCAGTTTAGGGAGCTTTCCTGTGTCCCACCGGGCACTTGGATTGCACCTGAGCTGTGCTTAACCCATCAGGAGCAGTGAGGTGCAGCCCAGCTGCATGTGCTTGGAAGGCTGGAGCTGGTGCTCTTCCCGAAGGAATTCCAGAAGCTCCACAGTCGGAGGTGAGTCTGTGCTGCTCCCTGGTGGGGAGGGACTGCCCGGCCGCGGGGTGGGGGCACCGGGCAGGTTTGGAGCTTTTAGTGGCTCGTATCGACACTGGGTAAGCTGAGGGCACAGGGATGGGGTCAGGATTTGTCCAGGGGAATGAGGGCACAGGGATGGGGTCAGGGATGAGGGCAGGAAAATACAGAGCTGAACTTTGAGATGAGGCTTGATAAGTGTGCTCGGAAGAGGAGCTGAATCCCTGGTACTGTGTAATGGAGGCTGGAGGGATCCTTGGATCAGAGCCCGTGCACAAGATGAGGTACAACTAACAATCAAAAAAACCTCCCCAGATCTTCATTTTAATGTATTTATTTACCTGCTGAGAACAGACCAAGTGTCCCAAATACCGTGTGGGGGTTTATCTCCCGTCTCTCTCCTGCGGGGGGGAGGAGGATGGGGGAGCTGCCAAACCCCAAATGGCGTTAGAGCCCAAAAAGACGATAAACGCGGGTTTCTGGCTCGTCAGGGCTGTCAGATCTCCGCGGGGCCTTCTGTTCCCTCCTCTTCCTTCTGCTTTGCGTGTCTGCCGTTGTTTGTGCTTAACTGGGGCTGGTTCCCCCGAGTTCTGCTGGGGGGGGGAGGATTTTGAGGGGTGGGAGCGGTGAGAGGACAGAAGTGATGTGAGAGAGGGGTAAGGGAGGGGGAACTCTGCGGATGATGGTCGGGCAGGAAAACAGGAATCAGGGTGAGATGGAAACAGGTTCTTTCAAAATAAAGGACAAAAAGGCTCCGCAGCTTCTTTCCACCCTGCGGAGGGAGGGGCGATGGGGAGCCGCGTTGGGGGCCGCCAAGGGCACGGGGTGGGGGGAGCAGGTTCGCAGCAGCTCGTAGGGGCGGCAGGGGGGACGGGACCCCCGGTTCACAGCCCCCCCTGTCCCCCTCCGATCCGAGCGGGAGGAGCCGCGGCCGCCGGGGCGAGCGGGCACCGGGGACAAGGAAGGGAAGGAAGCGGCGGGGCCGGAGCGGGGCGGGCCCGGGGGAGGGAAACGGAGGCGGCGGAGGCTGAGCCCGGCCCGGAGGGGTCCGTTCTGCAGGTGCCTGGGCGGGGATGGGGGTCCCGGGGGGGGCAGCGGGAGGGGAAGGGTCCCAGAGCGCTGCCAATCCTCGTGTCCAACTCCACCCGAGCCCTGGAGCATCCCCCGCGCCGGGGAGGGGGAAATCCCAGGGGATGGAGAACCATCCCTTGGCTCCCAGGTTTTGGCAGCTGGAAGGGGGGGGGGGACTCCGGTTTATCAAGGGCTCGGTGAGCCGAGGTGGAAAAAAAACCATCCCAGCTTAAAAAAAAAAGAAAGATATTTGTGCCTTAGGAGGGTGGATCCCGCTGTGTGGCGGGAGCAAACAGGGATGTAAACAGCCCGGGGCCGAGGCTCTATCATCACAAAAAAATTCGGCGGGATGGGTGGATGCTGCTGCGGAAAGGAAATGCTTCGGAGGAAGCAGCAGGCGTTTGAGGCAGCGCTATTGACAGCTCGTGGGGATGTGGAGGCTGTTATTTGGAGTACCAGGCAGGTGAATGATTTCCAAGATGTGCTCCGTTCCTAACGGAGCGTTGCTCAAGGGTTGATAGCTGGGAAGAGCTTGGCAAATGAAGCCCTGCTCTGACAAGTTTTGGAGGAGCTGGGGTGAACACCACTCCCTTTCCTGCCTCGTGCTTGGCTGCTCTCCACTGCTTTTGCCACAGCATCTCCCTGAGCAAACCAGAGGTGCCTTTCCCACAGGAATTTCTCTCCTGGAAGCCGAAACGGGGTCGGACACGATCTGGAGCTGAGCCCCTTCCCCTCTACCTGAATATCCCTGTGAGCAGCAGCAGCCCTGGCATAGAGGCAAGTTCTCTGGGCAGTGTTTTCTTCCGAACTGCCCATCGTATTTTGGTTGAAACAGCTGAATTTGGGAAGTTCTGCTTTTGGCCTCATCTCTGTGGCGGGACCCAGGGCTGTTTCAGTTCAGCACAGGAGCTGCGAGTCCAGAAGAGGTTTGTGAAGTTAATTTTTCACTGGCAGCCAGAGCGTGTTGCAGCATTGCAGGAGGGTTTAGGAGGCCAAGCAGGGGTCAGGGCTGCCCTCTGTGAGCTGCTGCCCCAGCCAGGGGGGCTGTTTGGGATGTGGGGCCTCTTTAACCAGGCAAAGTGGGAAAAGAGCACTCGGGAGGGAAGCTGAGCAGCAAACAGCCTGGTTTTGTCTGCATCTGTGCCCCTTGGATTCAGACAGGCATGGGTTACAGACCCATTCTGATGAAGAAATTACGGGTATTTTTAAAACAAACAGTGTCATCCCCACCTCCTCCTGTTCCCAAACTTTGAAAAGCTTTTCCTGTCTGAGCTGTCCCTGAAACAACGGCACTTGCCAGGGGTTGAGGCATAAATCAGCACTGGAGCTGGATGGGATCCAGGCTGTTTTCCTCAGGACTTGTCTGAGCACGAGCAGGTAAAAAGGGGGGAGAATCTCCTTTTGGGCATGTTCTGTTCAATGAGCTTTTATGAAAGGGCTGCTTTTATCCGGGTGAGGGCAGCAGCTTCCAAAATGTAAATATGGAAACGTTTGCTCCGCAAAGATTGTGCTGCTGGACCTCAGTGATGCAACAGGATGAACTCACTTGAGCTGAGTTGTTTTTGTGGAAAGCTGCTTGGAAAATTGGGAGCTCAAAAAAGGTGGCAAAACTCCAAATGCAGGAGTTTCACCCCCTGTTAGTGCCGTTGGTTATTTCTGCTCTCAGGTGCCCCCCCTTGGGAGGCAGAGCAGGTTGATCCCACCTCGATGCTGGTGGGAAGGTGGCTTGTGTCACTTGTAAGGACAGGGACTGTAAACAGTTTACAAGGGGGAAAATCTGGAGTGGGAGGTTTGTTTAGGATGCTTGGTTTGTTTAGCACTTCCCAAACTGCAGGGAAGGGGTGAGCCAGGAACTGATGCATCAATTAACCCCATACTCGTGTCCTCTGTGCTCCTCCAGGCAGTCTGTTACCTGTGCAGCAGAGGCACATCAGGGCTTCCTAAATCTCCCTTCAGCCTCCTTCCTTCCTAACCCCTGTTGGTGATTCTTATTTTCAGGCTGTTCTCCGGCCACACTTACCTTTGGAAAAACAACACAAACCAACCAACCAACCAAAAAAATCTGGCAAAGCATTTGAGCTGCCCCCGCTCGCTGACTTTGTGTTGAAGCCACTTTTAAACCCCGCAGCAAAGCTTTCCTTGCACCCCAAAGGTTATTTCGCACAGCGGGGACCCGGAGTGGGGCCACACCATGGCAACATTTGTCAGCGAGAAGCTCAGCCGGCTCTTCATTAACGTGAGGCAGGTCCCTCAGCTGCTGGGGCCCCTCTCTCCCTCCACCGTCAGCAGCTCCGAGGTGCCCAAGGTCTTCTGGAAGCCCTACATCCACACCGGCTACCGGCCCGTCCAGCAGACCTGGCGCTACTACTTCTCCACCCTCTTCCAGCAGCACAACGAGGCCATCAACGTCTGGACCCACCTGGTGGCAGCGCTGATCCTGCTGCTGCGCTTCCAGCAGCTCTCGCGGCGGGTGGACTTCGGGCAGGACCTGCACGCCCAGCCCCTCCTCATCATCCTCGCGGCCTCCATCACCTACCTGACGTTCAGCAGCCTCGCCCACCTCCTGCAGGCCAAATCCGAGTTCTGGCACTACAGCTTCTTCTTCATGGACTACGTGGGGGTTGCTGTTTACCAGTATGGCAGCGCCCTGGGGCACTATTACTACGCCATCGAGCCGAGCTGGCACGAGAGGGTGCGGGGGTTTTACATGCCGGCGGCCGTGCTCCTGGCCTGGCTGTCCTGTGCTGGCTCCTGCTATGCCAAGTACCGGTACCACCAGTCCGCCCGGCTCCTGGGCCGGCTGTGCCAGGAGCTGCCCTCGGGCCTGGCCTACCTGCTGGACATCAGCCCCGTGGTCCATCGCATCTGCACCGCGCCGCCCTCGGCGCGCCCGGACCCGGCCCTGCTCTACCACAAGTGCCAGGTGCTGTTTTTCCTCATCGGTGCCTTTTTCTTCTCGCAGCCTTACCCCGAGAAGTGGTTCCCTGGCAAGTGCCACTTCTTCGGGCAGAGCCACCAGATCTTCCACGTGTGCCTGGTGCTCTGCACGCTGGCGCAGATCGAGGCCGTGGTGCTGGACTACGAATCCAGGCGGCACATTTATTCCGCTCTCCAGGGGGACCTGGCACACAACTTCTCTGCCCTTTGCCTCTTCACTGTGACCTGCGCTGTCCTCACAGCCGCCTACATGGCCCGGAAGGTGAAGAACAAGCTGAGCTTCAAGGAAGAGTAAAAACAGGTGAGCTCAGCCCGTGCTGGATGAATCCTGCCCCAAACCTTGAGAAGAGGAATGAGACGCTTCATGAACTGTTATTCAGCAAGTGCTTTCTATAGGAAGGGAAAGTAAAAGCTTTTTTTTTTTATGCCTTTTTTTTTTTTTTAATTCAGAAATAGTTCCAGCTTGCTCTTACGAATGGTACATATTTAATTCAGCTCTGAATAAAGAGTTGGAACAAAGTGTTTCGGTGCTGCGGCCCTGTGCCCCGACAGTGGTGGCCTGGGGAAGGCTCCTGGAAGCTGCCAGGTCTCACAGCACGAGGTAAGGAGCTGAGACTGTTTAAACCACAAACAAGGGCGGCAAACTTAACTCAGTATCATTTCAGGCCCCTCATATACGGCCCGGGGAGCTGCTCAGAGCTGTCCGTGCAGTGGCAGGGCCCTGTCCCTCAGTGGGGGGAGCGAGACGGGCACAGCCTGTCCCGGGAAGTGCAGTGGGAGGAGAGGGTTGATGTGGTGGGGCTGGATCAGGCCCCGGGAACAGGGGAACACCCCTGAACAGCACACAGGGGGCAAACGCAGGGGGGGAAAAGACACGGTGTGAGGGGCTGGGGCAGGAGGGGCAGCGGGGCGGGGGAACGCCCCCCTGCGTTGTGTGTTGTGCTGCTCCGCTCCGGCACCGCTGTTTCCATCCCTTCCTGCCGAGGAGCACCGGCCAGCCCCGCTCTGATACCCACGGATTGATCCCGGTCCCAGGTCCGGCCCATGAGGGAACCGCCCCCCTCCCGCCCCCTCTCTGCTGCTCTGAGGGACGGCCGCGGTGCCACCGCCTTATATAGGGCACGGCCCGGATGGGCGGGGCCAGCTGCACTCGGGGCCCCGCCCCTCCGCTCCCATTGGTCCGTCAGCCGCCGGCGGCGCGCGCGGGGCCCGTTGGGCGGGAACCGGGAACGGGAAACGAGCGGGAACCGCCGGGAATTGGGAACCGCCGGGAACTGGGAACCGCCGGGAACTGGGAACCGCCGGGAACTGGGAACCGCCGGGAATTGGGAACGGCCGGGAACTGGGAACCGCCGGGAATTGGGAACCCACGGGAATTGGGAACCGCCGGGAACGGTGCCGGGATGAGGCGCCGGCGCGGGGGCCCCGCCGCCCCGGCCGAGGCGTGCGGCGTGTGGCTGGACACGGCCGAGCTGAAGCGCAGACCGGCGCCGGTAAGACCCGGGGGGGGGGCACCGGGGGTGTCTCGGGAGCTGCGAGGGGTCGGGTGAGCCCGGAGAGTTGGAGAGTTGAAGTGTTTCACTTCGTTTGATAGTGGTACTCCGTCATCTGAGATTCGTTTTGGGGTCTGGGGCATCTCTGTGCTGAGACCGCGGGAGCTGGGCCTGGTCAGTCTGGAGAAGGGAAGGCTGGGAGGGGATCCATCAGTCCGTGCAAATATCTCATCAGTCCATACAAATAACTCATCAACCCATACAAATACCCATTAATCCATACAAATATCTCCCAGGGCTGTCAGAGGATGGTGCCAGACTCTCCTCCATGGTGCCCAGCGACAGGACAAGGAGCAATGGCCATAAACTAAAACACAACAAGTTCCACCTCAACATGAGGCAGAACTTCTTTCCATGGAGGTGGCAGAGCCTGGAACAGCTGCTCAGGGAGGGCTTGGAGTCTCCCTCTCTGCAGACATTCCAGACCCACCTGGTTCCTGTGTCACCTGCTCCAGGTGACCCTGCCTTGGGCTGGATGTCTCCAGAGGTCCCTTCCAACCCCAGCAATTCTGTGATTTCCAACCCAAATGAATCTGTGTTGCTGTTTAGTGGAGGTGGGAGCTCTGGAAGAAGGAGGAATTGTTTTTTTATATATTCATACATTCATTCTCCCTTGTTTCTTTCCCCCCTCCCCCCCCAGCCTCTCACAGCCAAGCTAAAAGCAGCCACCCGAATTCTGGAGAGGAAACCCACCTCGGTGGTGCTCACACAGAGCAGAGCCCCCCAAACTCGCACCAAGCAAACCACCATCCCCACCTTCTTCAGCTCCCACACAGGTAAGGAGGGGAAGCAGCTCCAGCTGTTACAGCAAACCCCTCTCACTGTATCTCTTGGCAGCTTTGCTGGGCAGGAAAGTGCATTTTCTAGTGCAGAGAGTAAAAGTTTGAACTCCCAGAAAGGCTTTTATTGTGAGGGTTAATCCAAATGCAGGTGCAGCTGTTAATGAAGGGCTGGACAAAGCCTTTTCTAAGGAATGCTGTGATTAATCCTAATGGAGCCAGTTCCCCCATCCCAGGGGAACTGGAATATTTAAGCTAATTAAGCCAGCTCACAACCTCTGTGATTTTGAGGCTGGTTTTTTTTTGTGCTCTGAAAAAACTGGGATTTTCCAGGGGTCTCAAGTTAAAAGCTATGGAGAGAAATGAAACAGATGCAGAAAGCAGCAGAGCAGGGCTCTGGAGCTGTTTGTGTGTTGTGAGTTATGTAAGAGTTGGTTCATCAGCATTAAACTGGTTTAGAAATAAGCAGATGAGAGGAGGCATTACAGAAATTGCACAGGTTGACAGAATTTCTGTGTTGTGACAGGGGTATTGATGGTTTTTGCTTTGGAGTCATCCTTCCTGCTCCTTCTGAACATGGTTTGTGCTTTCCTCTTTCTTCCCATTTGATTGCCCCCATTGATTGCATTCACTTACTCCCTGGGTGTGTCCGAATGTTCATCCAGGGTCCTGGAGGATTTAGGATGCTGGAGGGTTTTATTCTTTTAAATTATCCTGAACTGAGGGGGAGCTGGTTTATGCTGAGAACTTGTATTGGGTTTTATGTTCAGTGGTTTCAGAAGCAATTGTGGGCCTCGATGCCTCCATGGGACCACACAGGCACAGGCAGAGTTTCACTGGGCAGTTTTGTATTTTTTGTTTTTTTTTTTTTTAAGTGACTCTTGAGCTGCTGCTTTTAAAGGGAATGTTAGAGGTGACCTGCCTGGAAAGCTGAGGGAGGAGCCAAAGGCTGGAGCAGCTGAAGATGCAGCTCTTGACCTCACTCGAGGGACTCTGATTGTTGTGACCCCCCCCCAAGCTTTGGGTGCTGTTCCAGCTCAGCCTCTGCAGCACAAATAGATTGTTGTGAGGTGGTGGCAGCACTGGGACAATCCTTAGGGATACACAAAGGAGAGCAAAGCCACGGGAGAGAGTGGCAGGTCTGAGTCGAGGAATGTGTCTAATCCTGAGAAATGTGTCTGCCAGCTCTGGCTTTAACCGATTTTGTGTTGTTTTCAGATGAAAAAGACAAAGAAAACACCAGGCCGTCTCCTTTCACCTCAAATAAGGACAGTGAAGACACAGGTGTCCCTCTGGCTGCCTGCCCTGTGAAGATCTTGGCCTTGCCACAGGTGAAAACAGCCCGGGATCAACCCTTTGGATCCGAGGAGGGGGTGCAGGTCACATCCCAGGGCCGGGCAGGGAAAGCACCTTTGCCAGACTCCTTGGAGCTACAAGTGGAGTCACAGAGCCAGGGTAAAGCCTCCTGTGGGCCAGGAGGGGATTCCTGGTGCTGCAGCTTCACCCAGGACTCAGAGGGCCCCCGGATCATCAGTCACAGGAACAAATCCCAGTTATTTGCTGGAGAAACGGTTTCGGGAAGCAGCAGTGTCACATCAGACTGGGGGGTAACCAAACAGGAGGGCCAGGAGGTGAAGGCTGGACTGGATTTCCAACCAGGGCTTGGTGCAAAGCAGAGTAAGAAACCACAGCAGTGGAGTAGTGTTAATTCTTTAATTGATTTTGCTGAGACTGAGAATATAAATCCCGTGCCAGGAGCCAGGCCCTGGGCTCCTGGGGGGGTTTGTTCATCCCCACAGAGCCCAGCGAGAGCTCAGCCCCTGAGAGAGCGTGGCCAGAACATGGCAGGGGCTGGGGTGGGCTGGGACAGCCCCTGCAGGGAGCTCTTCTGCCAGGACTCGGAGGGGAACAGGGTCATTGCTCACGGCTGCAGGGACAGGGGCATTTCCCAGGGGAACAGTTCCAGCTGTGCTGCCTCCAGCCAGCCCCGGGGGCAGCAGCTGGAGCTGGGCCCTGAGTTACTGTTCACACAGGATTCTGAAGGGAACAGGGTGATTAAACACTGGTGAGTGACCTCAGTGTCCTGTGTGGCCTCTTGTGCAGCAGGAAAGTGGGAGGGAGGAGCTGGAAGAAAGTTGTCAGAACTTGGGAAGTGAACCTGCTGTGTCTGTGTGCAGGGTATAACCAGCAGCCACAGGCAGCACCTCTCTGTTTTTTATTTTGCTTTAATACAAATAAAATGTTGAAGGAGTTTATTTATAAGGGGTTTGACTGCTTCCCTCAGGATCAGAGCCCATAGTACTGCCCTGTGTTCCTGTCCAGCCTGCACATGGAGCACATTCCCAGGAAATGGGACTCCTGGTGACAGCTCCATCTTCTCCACAGGCAGGTGCATCCCCACCAAATCCTTGGGCAGAGGAGCCTTATGGGGACAGGGAGAAGGATCCCAGTGCTCAGGGGCTCTCGGGGTGCATCCAGGAGGGGAGGAGCTGTATCAACTCCCTGTAGAACTGATCAAGCCTTCAATGCTCTTCCTGTTCTCTGCCATAAAAGCCTCCTCTCATTTTTTAAGGTGGGGATGATGATTTAATTTTTTAAGGGCCAAGGGCCCTTGGTTAAGAAAATCAAGGTGGATTAAGAAAAAAATCCTCGCCACCTGTGAGTCTGTTCAGCTGCAGCAGCCGAAATTCCACCCCCCAAACACGAGCGCGTGAAATCATCTCCAGGACAATCATCGTCTTATTAAGGCTCCATTTTATATAAAGGAAAAAAACCATACTTTAAATACAGCCATGAGGAACATTGCAGCGAAGGTGGGGCTGAAGGAAAAACTCTTCAGTGGGTGAGAGCTGCAGCCACAGCCAAGGCCAAACTCCTCCCCTGCTCCCGGGGGGTGCCCGGCCCTTTGCACTGGTGCATCAATAAATAGACCTTTTGAACGCTAAATAAAATACAGGTTTGGAGTACAAGGACTGGTAATGAAACATTAAGTTACTGGCAAGAAATTAAGGCCATTCTGTCATGCAACTGTGGGCTAATCTGTGAGCTAAACACCCAGGGCACACGAAATCCACTCACGCCCCACCGAGGGGTTCGTTCCGTCCTGTCACTGGGAAAACGTCTTTTACCACTCTGATCCAACAGCCTGAAGACCTGGAAGCATTAATGAGCTTATTCTCAGCAGCTCTGTACCACACTCAGAACAAAGAACTGGAGGCTTTGTCCTGTTTGTGCTGGAAATGGAAACTGGTTCTATCGCAACGAGGCCGTTGGAGGTTAATGCTTAATTGGAACCTAAGGAAGAGTGTAGGTAAGAAAGAACGTCATCCAGCAGCACTCCAGAGGATCCTTATCAATAATCAACATCAAAACACAGGTGGAAAAGAATTTCCATCTTCTTAAAAAGATTTGTTTGTTTTTGTTTTTTTTTTCTTAAATATAACAACACATGGAAAACACATCAAATCCGTAGGGTCTTTCCTAAGTGTCCAGTGCAGAAACCAGGTCTAATTAATAAAAGAGGCAAAAGGCTCAATCCTTAGGAAGGCAGCTACTGTGGAGAAAAATTTTGGGAGCATAACACTTTTGCTTACAGAGTTGAATGACAGCGACATCATTTCTCCTTCAGGGCCAGATCTTCATCCTTCAGGGCAAATTTCCTCCTCAGAACTTCTGCAATAAGAACAGCCGGGTCTTCCTCCTTCATGGAAGGTCGGTTTCTACAGGGGAGACAAAAATCACTGTGCATTAGCACAGCCTAGTGCCAAAATTAATGGTTAACAGCTCTGGGTAGAGTCCTCCAAGTGTTTTTTTCTGCAGCCTTTACCATCAGCTGTTGTCACAAGTGAAGGAGGTGCAAGAACAACATCACAGAACAACAAAAAGCAGCTGAAATTCAGCCCTTTCATGTCAGCCCAGAAAACCTGGAGCCCGTGTCGTGGCTCAAGGGGGATCCTGAAAAACCTCACCATCAAAGCTCTGGATAATTTTTGTTCAGCTGTGCTAATAACAAGTAAGTAACCCAAAACTTGATCAATTATTTACAGCCTACAGCCCCTCAACACAAATCAGCAAGCAGTGAGGTGTCTGAGGTGAACTCCTGGGACTATATGTATTTTTTCATTAATTCTGCCATACAACAGGTGTATTATTTCCTATTTAAACATGGGTGATTACAGACATTTTAAAGCAGGGCTGGTACACGTTTCCTTCCACTACATGAGTTTTTCTGCAGCATTCTAAGAGCAGTTTTCCTCCTTCAACAAGTTCACACAAGCAGCTCCTTTTAGAAGCAGATTATTTTTACAGGAAGCCAAACCCCAGCTCTTTTCCCTCAGGTGTCATGAGTTGCTCACTGCAGTTTTGTTCACAACCTGTAATGATAATTTCAGAGCTTTTATTTTTTTTCATAGCTGAAGCCCTCCCTTGCTCAGAAAACATTATGGGTGTTTCAAACATTCCTAAAAGAAAAAAAAAAATAAAAATAAAAATCCCCCTGGAGCATTTCCACCACAGACACTGGAACAGGCTGTAATTCAGATTTGCTGAAACAGGCACATTTCTGCAGGTTTCTCCCTTATTCCTGAAGCTTCCAAAGCTGTGTTCAAACACCAAGGCTGAGTTTAAGCACCAAGTCCTACACAGGAGCAGCAGAGAGGCATCAATGTAATTATCTCTTTAAGCATCTTCTGGTACTTTCATCCACTTAAAAGAGCACCTGACCCTGCTCAGGGTTCCCAGAGCTGCCCAGCAGAGCTGGGGGAGCTGCTCCACAACTGCACTGAGGGGGGTGTGAGGAATTAAATCTCATCAAGTCATGAACACCAGTGACTAACTGAATTTTTCCAACTCCCTGCCACTCTTCAGACAGCTTTAATTAAGCTGTAATAACCCCAAAATGTCACTGCTGGATTCAGGAGAGTCAGAGGCTGAGACAGAGAAAGGGATGAGGGGGAAATGGTTCACTTCCAGCAGGAAGCAGCCTTTCTGTCACAGCATTCCCTGGATAATCAGTCAAGGATCAAGGGAGAAGGGTCCTGCTGACCCCCTCCTTCTGCCCACCTTGTCCAGGAGGGATCTGGCAGCTCTCCCCTCCTCTCAGCACCAAATCTTTGCTCTCACCCCACCTCCTGTGACTTTAAACACAATTAAAGCCTTTCCTCGAGCACAAACCATCCCGTTGCTCTCCCAGGGAACAGCAGGATCAAACACCTTCATCCCTCAGGACTTCTCTCACAAATTCCATCGTGGAAATTCAAATTGTGGCCCCTTATGTCACAGCATTCCCTGTCACCCACACACTGTTTGTCACATCCTCCCCCCCAGCCCCTTGTGACTCGGCCAGTGCTGGAATCCTGGACTCTGCAGGAGCCTTGTTGGCACATCCAGGCGTGGATGAGAAGTGCCTTGGATTTCCCTGCCATAATCTGGATTTGTACAAGCTTTTTTCATGCACGTTTCCCCCGATTCCCCTGGCACAGACAGCAGCAGTTTCCCTGCCCTGAGAGCCTGAGGCTGACACAGCAGCCTGAACTGATGAGAAGAGTGATAATTGCATTGTTATAGGTGAATGTGCAGGTTTTGGTACAGGTAAAACACTCCTTGGCACAGCATGAAGTACCTGCAACACCAGAGTGACCATGAGAATGGGGCAGTTCCAGTTCCCAAAAGCCAAACCCAAATCCCTGTTGAGTCAATGTGGCCGAGCCCCACAAACCCCGGGATTTTTCTCAATTTTCCCTCCATTTGCCTAAAAATTCAATAATTCTGCTGTGCAACGGACTGAGACACACAGAATACAAGATTTCTCTTAATCCTCTCTCCATTTGCCTCATAAATCAATAACTGTGCAACAGACAGGGAGAAAGAAGAGGAGCAGTTCACCTGTGGCCCATGAATCCTCACCCCCAAGACACATGACAGGCATTTATATAAATCAATCAAATGTTTAAGCTTTGAGTCATATTCAACACTCAGGAAAACAAGAGGAAAGGGGTGAGTGATGGAGGTGTAACCCCCCCACGATGCTCTGGGTGGAAGCTGAACATGTTCCTCTCATGTGACTACACAATTTTCTCAGTGCTGAGGATTTAATTCCTTTTAAGCCGAATCAGGCAGAGAAACTGTGAAGAGCCATCACACAACAGGTGTTATTTTTGGCCAGGAATCTCACACAACATGATGGCTGGGCTGAAAAATGTGGAGACTGAACTTCTTCACTGTGATTTCAGCCAACACCGAAGAAGGAACTTGCTCAGCTGGGCAGAATCTTGTCCCAGCCATGGAGCAGCTTCAGGAGTTCTCATGATCAGTGTGTCAACTCGTCATGAGACAAGTGCAAACTCACCCTGCCCACGCTCAGGGCTGGGCCAGATGCACAGTCAGAGAAGCTGAGAAGCTCCACGTGTTCATTCCTGCCTGTGCCACGCTGGAGAGGCTGCTGAGCTTCCCAACTGCCTGGGAATGTCAGGTGGGCTGGCACCAGCACCTGGAACACTGGTGGTGTGACCCTTCCTCACTCTGAAAGCTGCCAACACACACAGTCCTGGTTGGCATCTGGGCAAACACAGCTTTTTGCCAGGTGAAAAAGCTGGGACAGCCAAACATTGGGCTAATCAGTTTAAATCCCCCTCCACTGTTTCCTCTCGGGGTGGGTAAGCCAGAGTTAAAACAAAAAACCAGGAATGTGTTATCAAGTTCTGCTCTAAACAGGTATTTCCCTTCAAATCACAAATAAAGAAGCAGCACCAGCAGCAAGTGCAACGTCCAGTGTCCAGAAAACAACGATTTAACACCAAAACCAAAAGGAGATAAAATCAAAGGGAGTTCGGGAGGCACTTACAAGTCTTTGCTCTGCTTCATCCTGTGAATGTCTTTAAGAATTCCCATCATGTCTGCAAAACTGCTGGCCTTGGAAAGGGACACGGAGTCTTCCTCATCAGGATCCTTTGGGTCTGGCTTGCAGCTCTCAGAGGCTGCAGAGCAGAGCAGGGAGACCGACGGGAGCTCGGGGCTTTCCAGCTCTGCCTCCTCCTCCGTGATATCGCTAATGACAAAGGAAGTGGTGGATTGGAAAGAGGGTCCAAAACAATGTAAAGGAGAAGATGCATTTGAACTCCCTGGAGATAATAAATCTGGTGTTAACTGAGCAGAAGCTGGAAAAGAAAACAACAGAGGTGGATAAACAAACTCACACCAAACCACGCGGGACAGTTTTACCCCAAATATAAATCAAGAGGCACCGTCGGCCTCTGCAAGAAAACAAACCCCTCAGAGTTCTCTGCTGCCCTCCACGGCCACTCTGCTTCCTTCTCCAGCACCTTTTATCCCACCAAGCCCCTGATG